GTGAAATGCACTGGACTGTCAACTGCTGAGCTGATAAGATCAGTTTTAGGATGTTTATCTTGGACCAAAACTGTTACGGTCACGTGTGGCAAACTGCTGAGCTGGTGTAGACTTACTTTTCCGGCTCAGATGTGCTCAGCAGACTTTTTAAGAGTAACCTTTTCTCTTTGGATTTTATGTTGGCGCAGATGTACTGTTCTTTGGGTTCTAATTTTAGAATCAACTTCTATCTTGTAGTCGGTAACTGAATGGGATAGTAGAGTAGAAGCTAGTGTATTGTATGTAGTGTATTTATGTGCACTGGTACTAATTTTGCATAAATGTGAAYTTGTGTCCTCTGCACAAACTTGTTCTGGGTTTTCCATGAGGGAGCTGCACAGGTGTTAGTTGTTATGAAACCATCCTTTCTAATAGAGAGGGGACAGATGTTAAGGATGGGATCATGTCGTTTCTACAAAAGATGGCCTGTGGTATCATCTCCTAAGTTGGATTTTAATTGAACTTCTGTTGAAATCAAATATTCAGTGATTCACTGTATCTGATAGGTGCTGGATTTTTAAAATTACTTCAGAGGAGTGCACTATTTCAAGTGCTATTGGTTACTATACATCTGACTTCCTGCCTGTTGTCATGGAKGACATTTACTATTTCTTAGAAATTTCCATCTCAGCTGGTGTTTGTTTGTGTGCATACATAAAAACAGGCCTGTTTGTTTCTGTCATTCAACTTGCTTAAAACAATGATAGATTATTGTTAAGAATTCTGGAGAAGAATGTAAAGAAGAAATGAATGTATCATATCTACTGGACAACTGTATCTATGAGTTACTTTGCAAGCTCTGACACTGAAAAATTTACTGCTATCTACTGCTAAGTAGCAGTGGCATGTGGAATTGAAAGGACTAAACTCTTCTACAGAGGGGTTATGAATTCTCAACTATTCTATAGCAGAAGCTGTGTGAGATGAAAAGACACTATTACATTGTTATACTGAAAGATGGCTGCTTTCGGCTAGCTCTGTCATGAGATGTTTTGTCTAAAATGTGTACAAAAAGGGTTGTTCTATAACTTTCCAATGAAAAGAGGTATGTAATAAAGGCAAATGATTAGAAACAATGGGTAGCCTAAACACCTGTTTTGGGAGTAGGGCATTTATATGTTGCCTGAGGGAAAGGGCATCCACCCATAACGCTTCTCGGGAGGGTGGTGCTATTTGTATTTATGATTTTGGCTTGTTACGTAGGTTTGACAAATGARTGCTGAGGTGATGGCTGAATGGCTGTAGTCAAGCACAAGACACGTAAGAAAATGCATCACAAGTATCACTTTTGAGCTTTATAACTCCTTTTTACACCTTTTTGTCAAGCCCACGTTCAGTCTCACCCTACGTGGGTTGTTGAAAATGGAAAATTGCTTTTAAGAGAAAGCCTTGATGTTTTGTTTTTTTGCTGTATTTTTCCAGGCCTTATCTCTTATTTTCAAATACATGAGCAAAAAAGCAAGTTACTGGGACAAACTGTAGCAATTTAGCTATTCAGTAGAGCTCCCCATGTGAGCAACCTGCAGCTGTACCACTTGCAACCAGCTGGAAAGACTGACCACTTGCAACCSGCTTCTCTGGTTATCTGAGAGCGGTGCTAGAAGTGAATCCGTTTTGTACAAATTGGATGTCACAATTAGAGTTGGCTGTGGACTGATRGCTGGTCTCACTGCAATGTTCTAGGAATGTGTTTTCCCCCCTCTTCTATCTGCTTTTGCTGGGGTCCTGTGTGCAGGTGTGTGAATTTTGGAGGAATATAGGAAGACAACAGGGTACAGACAACAGATTCCATGGTGGCTTTCAGTTCTTGCACCTCCTTTCTGCCTCCCTGAAAATGTCTTCTCAAAGGAGAGAGAGAGAGGGTACAATGYCATCAGATTTTATTTCTCCCTGGTACTTGGTGACATTTCTCTGATACCCAGTTGTGCTGGATGTCCTGGGGAAGTGCATGCATCTAGTAAGCGAACCCAAGTCTGAATCCCATCTGAATGTCATGCTGAGAGCAGTGGGACGTTTCACACTTGGAGCACAAAGACAAACTAATTGGTGGATCTTTTAAGTTTAAGTTCTCCCCATGAAAAACACTGTCTCAGTGCTTAAAATGCACCATGATATTACAAAAAGAAAAATAAAGCTTCTTCCTGTGCAGATGTGTACTAATTAAAATGTGAACTGGAGTGTTTGCCAAATGTGCCTCTTGCAGGAAGTACACACAGAGAGGACAGACTGATGTATGATCTGCATTTCATACCTACTGTCAGAGGATTCCATGACTTTTCAAGAATCCATGTTGTCCTAAAGGTCTGAACAGGCAGCTATACCAGATCAATTCATATTTTCAGCTTCTGTAATAATATGGCAAAGCTGTCATGCATATCAGTAGACATACCTGATGAGAGCATATATAGTCAAAGCAGAAGGGTGAAAAGTTTCATAGTAGCTCGGTTTTGTTTCAAACACACAAGGGATCAGAGGACAGGAAGGAATGTTGTCACAGGAGTTGATTTTCTAGGTGAAACTTTTCTAGGTGAAACATTCCTGGTTTAAGTTGTGATATCTTTGTTGTCGGAGTAGTAGAAATACAAGGTGAAATTTGTTTTAATTAAAATCTGTCATAGCATGCCCTGTATATATGTACCTGTGTGAGAACTGGTACTGCAGGATGTTTATTTCAATATTTCTCGGTTTTATTCATCTAGAGTTTTATTTATGGCTGGGATCTTATAGACTTTGATTTAAAATTATGGTGATTGCACTTGCCTCTAGTCTGGTTTGATTATCTTCTGCAAGTGTTCATATTCTCACAGGCTATGTCTAAACCGTGGGAGCCAAGAGTGTTTCCAGTCTTTCAATTCCAGGTGCTTAGCTGAGGTGTATCTTGACTCCCTGCCAGCAGTGAAACCCACCTAGTCAGCACCTAGTGCCTTGCTCTGTGATTTACATTAGATAACAAGCGCTTGTAACATTCTTCCTAGCATCACTTGTAGTGATGTCTCTGCTCCAGTGTAGGTCTGTCACAGCCTACTGTCCCTCTGGAGGTGTCTTTCCTTCAGTGAGGGTCAGCCATGGACTGCAGTCCCCTGGGGCATCTTCACTCCAATGGGTCACCCATGGGAGCAATCTCTTCATAGGAGTCTATAGATTTCTCTATTTCCATGTGGACCATCCATTTAAGGGCCCCAGTCCCTTCAGAGGCGCATCTCCTCTGGCCGTCTTTCAAGAGTGCCTCTCCAGCCACATAAACAATGCCATCTTCCATGTATCTTCTCCATTTCCAATTACCTGCCTCCTTGTTTCTGTTGCTGCTGGCAGCTGCTGCACTTGCTTAAATATATTTGAGCAATGGCACTACATGGGCTCCTGTGACTGGCTGAAGTTTTGGCATGTGGTGGGATGTTTACATCAGTTTCAGAGCTGTTCAGAAGAAGCTGTGAGCAGCCCTGGGCAGTTTGTGGCCTCTGTGCAGGTCACCCCTGCAGCCTACCAAAATTCTGTCACTTTATGCCTGATAAAACTAGATAAAGGAGAATATGTTTTGGACTAAACCATTCCATCTTGTTATTCTAAGTTGGATGCATCCCCTGGAATGACTAAGGAGAAAATCTACTAGGAGGTTATGTATTACTTCATTAGCAAGTGCTGCACATATTATAGAACTATAGCATATATGTGAGTGGGAGGGAAGAAAGTAGTTTTACCATCCATGCCATAGATGACTCCCTACCTTGTAAAAAAAAAAAAAAAAAAAACATGCAGTTAATAGCTACAAGCTTTGAAACTGTCCTTTCTAAATAGCTTAGCTTCTGCAGCCTTTATTTTTTTTTGTCATTTAAAGGGAGCTACATTTAGGGTCTGAAACAAAACATACATTTTATTTCATCTCAAAATGTCTTTCTTTGGTCATCTGTAATCTGCAGGCCGTAAGTACCTCAGATTGTCCACCTAAATATTCACTGTTATGTGGACTGAAACTACCCCATCAGTTAACTTGTCACGATGGAGGGCACAGAAGCTTGTGAGATGGAAACTGGTATTTTGCAAACTGTTTTGCTTTATTTAAGCTGAATGTCATCACAAGCTTGGAAAGAGCTACAAGGAGACTTAATTTGAAAACATAAAGGTCACTGGAGGCCTAATAAATGGGAAGCCTTTGGCAAAAATGTACTTACTGACTTGAGCACTACTGCTGAAAATGAAAACAAACCCAATATATGTTATAATCAATTTGAATGTCCACAAAAATTCTGATTTCCCTCCTTAAAGTGGCTGTGCAGACAAAATCTTAATAGTGTTTAATTCAGTCTATTTGTTGTCATCATATGTGTGGTATTAATTTCAACAGTGACAGAAAATGCTGGTGCTGTTGAGGACTAAAACAGAGCTGGTCTCTTTAGATGCATTGGGATAGTTCACATATTGAGATCTCTGTAGCTTGAATTCTTTGTATGATGCATACAGGAATCATACGTTGTGTGATGTAGATTCATACGACCCCAAGCCACAAAACTAGAACGCAAAAAGCATAGTCCTAGAAGTAGCATAAACCAACATAGATACCACCTTAATAAAGCATGAAAATCATAGATTGCATAACTAGATACAGGCATCAATCATATAATTAGAAAGCCACATGATCCAGAAAGGTGAGTGGAGGAAAGAATCAGCACTGAGTACTAAAATAGCCTTCTCTTATGATTGTAAGTCAGAAAACAGGTTGGACTGTAGGCAAAGCAGTGTGTGTGTATATGTAGGTATGTATGTGAATATGTATATTTATATATCCACACATGTTTATGTACATGCGGGTCATACAGAAGTCAATTTATTTTGCAATACATATTTGTTAAAAATGCATATATATACATACATTAAGTTGGCTTAGTTTTTTGTATGCATTAGGACAATTTTGGTTTGGTAATAGGATAATAAATGAACCTTTCCTGATAAAGATGTTTCTGTAGCTACAGTTGATTCGTGAAGGCGTGATTATCGTCAGAGTCCTTCAAAYCTTCTTTGGAAGTTAGCATCTGAGCACAGATAAGGTAGGTGGAATTTTTTTGACTAGGGTGGCCATCTGTTCATGATCTTAAATTTAAGATGTATATTTGTGTTCACTAATGTTTGTTTCCCTTTCTATTCAATAGCTATATAATCACAGATTGTATAATTATATCATCTCTGTTGAACTGTTATTTGTGTACCCACTGATTTGTGTGCTTGTGATTATAGATTTTTTTCCATATTACTGTGTTCTAAGGATGTGGCCTGATTACTATTATTATTAGGRGTCACTTTTCACTTACCTTGATCGACTTTGAAGTAGTACTATTTCTTTAAAGTTCTTTCCTATCATTGATGGTGCTTTGTGGGGAAATGTTTTTGTTTTCTAAATTAGAGACATGACACCTATTATGAAAAATTAAACTCAGAAAAGTAGAGCCAGCTTTAAGGACTGACTGAATTTAAGTGTATGTCCAGCTATCCACACACCCTAAGATAAAAGTACTGTTGTGAATGTATAATTTAGCACATCTTCCTAACTTTTAAATGCAAACAATGTGGTGTTCAYGTGGCTTTAGTATAACCTCTCTGTCAGCTTGATCATATTTTAAGGCATGAGGAAGTGCAGGAATTCAGTGAGAATTCACAAGCCTTCCTAAATCCTGCATGGAAAATCAGAATGTTTATGAATATAAATTGTACTCCAAATTGTTTTTCTAGTAGAAAAGAGAAACTTCTCTTGTAAGTGCTGAGATGTGGTAAAGAAATTTGATAGCTGAAGGCTTTTTGCTGTTGCAGAAAGATGTAGTTTGTATGTGAAGGGACAGATGAAATGAGACAAATTCAACTTTGAAATAAGATTAAATTTACTGAAAGTAATTCAACATGAAAATGTTTTCTTGGGGAGGCAAAAAAGTACCTAAATGTTGTGCTGATACTTTTCAACATAAGATTAAATATCTTTCCAAAAGATAGACTTTAATTTTACATCTGAGAAAAACTATGTGGCAATGTATTCTGCTTTTGTTGTTGCTTTGTAGCTAAGTGAAGAATGCCCTTTGTATGTGGAAGCTGACCTGAAACAGTGCATTTAAGATTCCAAACCTTTTTCTATGTTTCACAGAAAAGAAAAAGGGAGAAAAAATGTAAGATGGGAAATTATTTTAAATCAGATGAATCAGACTTCTCCCACCAAATTTTAGTTATTCATATGCTTAAATTAGGCAATAAATTAAGAAAATCCCCAGCTAGCCTGAGAGATGTTCTGCTCCCAGAGGTGATTTCCTTCCTGGGGTATATTCTTCTGTAKGTGTAAATAATGTAAAATCAATTAGGAACTTTATTACTATATTAGCCCCACAGATTTTTTTCCTGCTTTCATTTTAGTTTAATATTATTGCATTGAATTATTGCAGRTATCTCCTGTAGTCCCTAGTGAGCAAATGCAAATCCTACCTTACGTGATGTGTACAAATAACTGTGTAGAAATAAATGTTTAATGATATATCACCTATGAATATAGAAACTCTTAAAGCAAGCTGGATATAAATCGTTCATCAAGTCCAAGATAGTGTTTTTTTCTTATAAGTTGTGTTTGTAAAAACTTTGCGTTTGTGTTTGTAAAAGAACTTAGTTATTTCAGTCACAGTATTACAATGTTGAATTCAATGTAAAACGCATGGAAACATAATGGGCTTGAGGAGCCCTTTCATGCCTACATAATGAAATGGAGACAGATATCTTGAAGAGGTTACAGTCCTCTGTAAAGGAGGAGAGCAGGAGGAATAGAGCAAAGTAGTRGGAGCAGAAGCTGATGAACGTTTATGGTCTGTCTTGTAAGCAGCTAGCACTGCACATACATCCACTGCGTGTTAAGCTCTGCACACTGACTCTTCTTGGATACCACAGTTGTGTGAATGGGAGAAATGGACAAAGGCAAGACTTGCTTGCAGACTGCAACATGTGGCAAGGGTATCAAAGGGCAGAACCTGATCCAGRTGTCTGCGTAGCTTTACTTTTCAGAGATTAAAAAGCAGCCTCTTTAGAATCCAAGAGAAAGTGGTGTAAATMTTTTATAAATGCAGAAAATACTGTTCACAAAGGGATGCACCTTCGTTTTTGTATCTTAAATCTGCTACGGATTTTGTCAAAATTTCTTAAGAGTATCATTTTTTCTTGTTAGTTTTTCTTTTCCCTTTGGGAAGGTAGGTTTTATTGTTACAGCTGTCAARACCTGTTATTTTTGTCAAGATACTTATGGAAAAAAGAAGAGGGGAAAAAAAAGGCTACAAAGGCACTAGTGGAAGTTGAGAACACTTAATAGGTTGCTGTTTTGTGAAAAGCATTTTACTTTCATCTCCTGGACCTTCCTATTTTCCTTACTTTCCCAAATGTTGTTAGCCTTTTTCTGCAAATGGGCTTTTACAGATAGATACAGAGGAGGTGGTGTAGGCCAATTGTTGCTTTTCTGCTCTCCCACCACCTAAATCTCTCTGGCCCTGAAGTCAAACTGGTATAGCTAATAATGAATTACTACTCCTCTGTTTAATATGGAAGCAGTGACTTCAAAGAACACTCTCCATATAGTAAGAAAGCCTGATACAAGCGGACTCAGAGACAAAACTCTACAAAATCTTCCTAGTAGAGTATGAACATGAGATGCTATAAGGTCACATACGTGTGGGTATTACACAAAAGGGAATTGATTCCCGAGGTCAGAAATATGAACAGCAGTGTGGGTGGCTCAGGGTGCCAGAAGACCCGGATCATGCTCCAGGGGTTAACACTAACACATACATCCTGTGATTTTATTTGCTCTTCCTCTATTGCTCATATATATGGCCATCTCTTTGTATGTCTACAATTTAGCTATTAGCTGTCTACAACTTAGCTTTATGTTAAATCTCCCTTATAGTTGTTGAGATAAATTCATGGATAAATCAGGTCACAAGAATGGCATCCTTAACTATAAATTGACAGACATCATCTGTTCTACAGACAACTACAGTTGGGTATCTTGGGCCTTTGGATCAAATACCGGAGCTTCTTATGGATTTCTGCGATGACATCTATGATTGGATCATTGGTTTTATTGTGGCCTTTAAGGGTGGATTCATCCAAGTAAAGTGAAGAACCCAAGGGAGAAAAGAAAGATGATAAAATTAGGTCTACCCAGAGAAAATATATTTTCAAGGGGGCAGCAAAAGTTTTACAGTTCCTTTTTTCTTGCTAAACTTCCTCTTGATATGCTCTTTGCAGTGTCCTTTACTCCAAGCTGGATATGTTGATTTTGTCTTTCATAGCTTTATTCCTTGGAAATACTCATGTGTGTCCTATTCTGGAGTGTAGAAGAAACTGTTACTGTTTTGCTTAGAGGTTGGGGAGAAGTGAAAGCCTCTTASCTCTTCTGATTCCTCTGTGTCCTTTATAAGCAACGTACCTGAAATAATTCTTATGTTCCCCARCAAAACTGGGCTGATGATATGTCCTTGTGGGTTGAGCTTGCACATCTGTGGGTTCAAGTTGCAGCTGTTAAATGTAAAACAAAGTCAACCAAGTCATCTGAAAAGTGATTGTGACTTGTGGAAGTGAAATGACTTTCAGGCTTCATAACTTCCTTATTTGSTTGCTCTCAATATTAGTTCTTCTCTTGCAACTGGAGACTTTTAACCAACTTTAGTTAAAGTTGACATTAATTAGCAATAACGCTGGAGAGTCTTTGCAATTTCAGTATTTCAGAATACCTTGTTAGATATTTGGATGAAATCATCACTCCTACTTCTGGCCTTGCTGACTTTGCTCAGCCTTCCAGTGTGCAAGCCCTGTGGAAGAGCTGATCTCGTGCCATGGGCAGTGGGAAGAAGTCAAAGCAGATCACAGTGATGGGAGCCTCCTCATTGCATCTTGTTCCGCAGCTGAGTYAAAGGTTGTCAGGCTTCATTTGCTGCTTAATTAAAACATATCACACAGGTCCTACTTGTGACTGTAAAAGCTATTCAGTATGATTGCTAATTCTAATTGAAATTTCAGCCTTATGAGGTTGAAAGAGTGCAATGTGTAGAAACTTCTATTCTCTCTCATCAGCTGAGAGAGCCTGTTGCTGGGGTTTCCTTTTTCTGTGGAGGAAGGGGGAGTTCAGCTTTTCCCACTGTGGGGTGCCCCACTGTCTGCTTTGTGAAGCAAAACCATCTGAACCAAATCATGTAATGAAACTTTAACAAGCTGTTTCAAGGGCTGAGAACTATCGATATTAGAAAGGAATCTGTATATACTTTAGAAACTTCTTTCTTAAAATATTGATTTAAAAATGCAGTGTCCCATAAAGCTTTTCTGCGTTTCTCTCYTTATTTTTCTTCACATTAAAATGGGTAAAAGATATAGATATATATCAATTGAAGTGTTGAGTAGTTGAACACTTGAGTACTGATGAACAGTTGAACAAACTAACACTGTATTATGGCTATGAATAGGATTTTCATCACTGACAAAATAATTTAGTATTTCTTCACATAGGTACTTTGACAAAGCACCTGACTGAATACGGCCATAGGAAAAAAAAGTGTTTTGTGCCAATTTCATGAGCCAGCATGCCAAGCCAGCCTTTTGATATGGATAGACTGCTGAACTTTATTCATATGTTATTACAATTTGCCTCTTCTCAACTATAGAAATTACTATACTCTGTTCTTTTCCCATCTGGTTCTTCAATTTGGAAGTTTAATCCTTAGGAATTAAGGGATTAAAGATAACACAATACATTTTGCAAAATAGAAAATTTTGTATTTGCACTTCAGTCTAGGCTGTAAACTATACACAGCACTGTCAGTAGAGACAAAATTCAAAGATTTTTCTACCTCATCTTCTAGTTTCACTTAGAAATCTTGGCCTATTGTTGGCTGAGGCTCCCACTGAAGTCCACAAGGCCACTGGTGCAAATAAAGGACCAGACATATGGAAAAACATATGGGATCATGACCTTGAGAAGAGAGTGTCTAGATATAAGAAGCTCAGAGCTCACTAATTTCTTTCCGTCTGTCTGTTT